TGCATGTGTGCATACACATATATGTGCGTGTGTGTGTGTGTGTGTGTGTGTGTGTGTGTACACGTACGTGTGTGCGTGTGTGCATACAAGTACATGTTCGTGTGTGTGCTTACACGTAGATGTACGTGCGTGTGCATACATACACGTGTGTGCATGCATGCACGTACATATATGTGTGCGTGCATACACGTACACGTATGCGTGTGTGCGTACACGTATGTGTGTGCGTGCGTACACGTACGTGCGTGTGTGCGTACACGTACATGTATGTGTGTGTGCGTACATGTACACGTACGTGCGTGTGAGCGTACACGTACATGTATGTGTGTGTGCATACACGTACATGTGTGCGTGCATACATGTACACGTATGTATGCATGTGTGCATGCATGTATGCGTGCATGCATGCGTGTGTGTGTGAGTAAAGCTACATGTATGTATGTGTGCGTACACGCACGTGTGTGCGTGCGTCGATCACTCACCGTCTTGCCGACGTAGGCCACCTTCAGACCGTCGCCGGTGATTCCGACTCGCTCCTCCATGCTCATCCTCGGTTTTGCGTTCTGGCAGCGCGCCGCGTACGCCATGATGCCCAGGTGTTCGACGTCAGGGTCGGCCATGGCCTTTGCAGACAGCACCGGCTCCACCCCAAGCTTCCTCGCAGCATCAATACCTGCGGTGTTACACATATACGAATATTTTATTTATTTATTTATTTTATTTAGGCCTATTTATACTGCGCCTTTTTACATAAAATGATATCAAAAGCGCAGCACATCGATATCGCAAACGACTGAGCAATAAAATGAAAAGATATTAAATATGTACATGTGAGATATATAAGATATGTAAATAAATAAAATAGTTGAAGTCATGAGAATACTTATAGAATTGACTTCTAAAAGTAATTATGGATGAAGATTGCTGAGCAGATAGATGGGGGAGAGGGTAGATATTTTTAGATGGATGGGGAGGGGCTAGGTGTTTTAAATGTACCTAGTGTAGTTGGGCATTTGCTTATTGTTTGTTTTGCTACTGTTTGTTTATTATTGTTGTATTTTTGTTGTTGTTGTTGTTGTTGTTGTTGTTGTTGTTGATGATGATGATGTGATGTATGCATATTGTTATTGCCATAGTAATTGTTATTGTCATGTTTTGTTGTTGTCTGATTGTTTGATTTTGTCGTTAACAGACCGGGGACATTTACACGCAAGGTCAAAGATTTTGCTATATGGAGCAAACACAAGTCGTGAGTAGATGAGAGAGAACTCACCCAGCTGGTTGTTGTATTGTCCTTCGTTGGGATTTAGGTTAGGATAGCCGACGACGTTTCCTCCAAGGGCAATGACCAACGAACACAATGCACGGCCATCATTCCAATCAGTCTGCATGCAAGACAGATGTGGTAAAAATTGTATAAACATTAGTGTGATTAAAATGTTCCTTTATAAGATATTCAGGGCAAACACACAAAACTACTTGTGAAAAACAAACAAAACATCACAGAAAACGTTTCCCACTGAAGACCTTCACACGGAAGTTTTATAACGTTGACAACAGATCAATCTCTCCCCATAAATCTATGTATCTATATGTATCTATGTATGTATCTATATATGTATCTATGTATGTATCTATATATATCTATGTATGTATCTATATGTATCTATGTATGTATCTATATGTATCTATG